CACTTCAGTAGCTGTAGATTCTCAGTCATGTGATGGAATGCGAGTAATTCACTGAATGTTTATAATCCAGCGATTTTGGAAGTATTCACTTCTATCCTCGAGTCGTTTTTGACTCAATATGTGAGTCTACACACGATGCGCGACAACCGACGACACCTTTACTAGTAACTCTCCAGTGGAACCTTCTCTAGCGTAGTAAACTGTAAAAATGTGTACTACTAACTAAGATATATCCAGTCATATCAAAAAAGACGTAGGAAGTAGGGAGAAATCACTAGAAATGAGCTTTTTCTAGTTTTACAAGTCGTCAAGTAGCGCGAATAGTGTGCAATACACATATTGAGCTGTAAATGATTCGACGCTAACTCCCTCTTTGTCAGTGACATTTTATTATCTTATCTTTTTTGAATGCTATGATATAGCTTATAAATAATCTGGTTGAGGGGAACTACTACTTCCCGGTCGAATGGACGTGTTTATACTCTCATCACTATTATTCAGTTACATATTCGAGAGTCAGGTGTCGTGCCTTTGGTACACAAATTGCCACTCAATATCCTTCGCTGCTAGTGCCGAGCTTGCTTTCTTAGAATTTCTTTGGGTATTCTATTTCTAACGTATTCAAGTCTTCAAAGAATAAGGATCAAAACTGGTTAGAGTGAAATACACTAGAGCACGTGCTATTTTCTTTTCTCATTTTCCGTTGCTAGAAACAGCTTACAAGCTTATGTAGTGACTCATGCTTCAGAATAAATAGGGATTGACAAATGCAGTAGAGTGCTTTTTCCAAGCTTTCTTTAAATAAACTCCAATTTTGACTATTTTTTTCTAGCAAATCATATTGTTGAGACAAATACTTTTCCTTTCGGAAATATGATTCTGTTTTCTTTTGAACATATTTCCACAGTTCTATTTCATCCCCTCCCTAGACGGAGTCCAGGTTGGTAGGCCCCCACTTAACCCTCAGTTAGAAAGAATCTAGAATGATTTACATAATCTTCTCAGAAGTTGTAACCTTCGCCGTTCTGCTTAACTATCTTTTAACACTTATGGCGGATTTATGGAGAAAACTTGTAGTTTCTTTGACTCTTCAGATCACTTTTATCTTTTCACGATCTCGGAAGATTTTTCCTCATTACAATTTAACGTGAAGGGCTTAGCTTCTACTGCATACTTGTACAAATGAAGTATTTGATTGATTGTTTCATTTTTCGAATTTTTTTTTGGCAAATTCCCTGTTTGTTTGAAAAGTCTGAATTCTCAAATTGCCTTTTTATTAGCATTGTTGCTCTCGGAAATGCAGAAAAAAGTCGAAAACATGAAGAAGAAGAATGAGAGGAAACTCGGAAGACGAGAAAAATGAATTTTGAAGTGTCGTTCAGAATCGCTCATAAATCTATAATTTTTGCCTTGAAGATGATGTTAATGCCACTTTGTCCCTTCCTCATACATGCCAAATATAAGACTTTGCCGAAATTTCTAGACTTTTTCAAAGGAGGAAAAACAAAGTTACAAAACTCCACGACTTACTTTTTTTTTTCAAAGCAGCGTCAAAATTTCTTTCTTTTGAACAAATTTGTCACGGTCATTGAGCACTTCCTATCAAGTGCAGTGTAGGCAAGACAAAGTACATCACCTTTAAACATTTATCAAAGATGATAAGAGTCTGATTGATGTGACAAGTTTGTTTTTGAAAGGCACGCGCTGGTGAGGCACGTGTTGACAAAGACCATAAATGTGACAAATTCTTTCAACATTCACTTGATCTGACAAAGGTGTTTTAACTTACTGATAAAGTGAATGTACTTTAACCCCAGCTCATCTTTGATTATAGCTGAGAAATTGGATGGTTCTGTGGAATTTAGGGCTAATTTTGCTCTTTTTTTGAACAAGCGCTACATGCCGTGGAACAAAGACTATAGCAGATCTTGGTAGCATTCAATGCAGTTTTTCATGCTTTTTCGATTATCTTTATATTGCAGGTTTACTATTATTGAACTCTCGGAAATTCCTCAAAATCATTTTTGCCACCCAACTCATCTGGTGCTTGAAAAAGTAAAAAATTTCGCAGCATCGACCTTCGACCCCGTACCCAAACGTCATCATTTGCTTGTTCTTCGATTATCACATCACAATGATGAAAAACATGTACTTTGACCTTCGAAAGCTTTACGCACTCCTAAAACCAGTCCTCGTGATGCGCAGGAGTTCTTGGCTAGAATGTAGTGGTGTACTTTGACCGATAATCCTGAAATAAGTCTGTTTACTACAGCTGCAAGAAAAAAAAATTCTGCTTACTTAGGAAATGATGGCTATCTATGGGCACAGATAGCATTATTTCGCAAATGAGTTTTACGGTTTTTCATCAAGCATTTTTGACTGGTTATCATAATGACAAATAGGAATTATCCAAATAATCTCTTGGATTGTGTCTGTCGAAATGCGGCCATGAATTTACAAATTTGACTGTTTGAAAATATAAACAAAATGAATGTATGTATGTATGAATATTGATTTAATTTGAATATTAACAACAAAATTATAAATCTTGCCGCAGGCTTCCCAGTCCAATCAAATGCGAAGCCGAGACGAATCTCCATCTTAGAGTTAATCTTGAATTTCAAAAATAAGATTGAAAAAGAATTGATCAAAAAACATTGTGCTGATTTGGAGACCTTGTCAAAAGGAAACAGCGGATTCTTGCGCAAAACTTGCGCGAGTTATTTGTAATGTTATATGAACCTGCACACTGCACGCTTCAGTCGAAAACGCCTTGCTCAAGTCGACTGCACAAAATCACCCATGTCGTTGTAGCCTGAACACCTGCGAGCGTGCCTGCAACGCGGTTGCCATGAACGGACGCTGAGTCATGCGCGTGAATGCCAAAGCTAACCCACTAGAGACACGCTTCCGGACGTCCAGCCTGGACGATTCCGCGCAACTGTAGAAGCTTTACTAGCAAAACAAACTGCGGAATTGCGTACTACCATTTTATACTCACCCAATCGAGCTAATAGAGAGGGGAAACCAAGAAGAATCTTTGCAAATCAACAAATCTCAAATGAAGAAGTCGTGAGGTGGCGCGCGTCCCGTGCAATACACACAAGTTACGAATGACTTTAAGATTCATTTATAAAATCGTGGCGACGGATTTGACTGCGGTCTTTGCGCCTGCAGGAGCATAACACCCTCATACAAATAGGCATCACTTCAGCGCTCAGCTCAGTCACTTTCGGTGTCAATGTTATACCTGAGCAGAAAAACCAGTCACTTAGAGATTAATATCAAGACAATGCGGTTGCCGGAAGGTGCGTGCGTGTTGCGCGCGGTCGCGTCATCGTCACGACTATTCGAATGCCCTGTACGATATCTTTGCATGAGGATGCTCTGCTAGTAAGAAGCAACCAACCGGGGGTTTTTTTTTCGGCAAATTTCTGTCTGTCAATCCATCACATTTACTTGCGCTGGACTTTTTGCTGCTGCAGCGAGAAGCAGGCCCCGTACTTACACTAACTTTCAGAGTGAGACCTGCATCACCTGTCACTGAGCGTTGGTGAAATATGCAAATGCAGCGTTGTAATGCTGCGTAGGCTCTGAAACTTGAGTCAAAATTTGACAGAATGGTGCGAATTTGAGCGTAATTTGCGTAGAGGCAGCGCAGAAGGGCGCAGAGTGCATTTAGGCAAACGGTGCAATTGCACAACAACACAGAAACGCGCATTAAATGGAGGATTTTTGCGAAATCGGAGCGCATTTCCTTAGGCTAAGACAGTTTCATGCTTTCTGAATTAGTAAGGCTTAGTAAGAACGAATATTTGGAAACTCATCAAAAAGAACTCAAGTAAGAAGTGTACTCGATAAAACCCAGCAATTTTTTTTTGTGAAATTTTGTAAAACTTGCTAGAGGCAGTCCTATGTAACATGAGCAAACAAACAAGCAAATAGCTTAGCAGAATGGCAAAAGCAGACTGGTACTACTTCAATTCCTAAACTGTTAATCGTTTGAGAGAGTAAGCGTCCATTCTTTTTCATTACCTGTCATGCAATATTGGCCAGTTGCAAAAACAGTATTGTTTTCAACGTTCTGCACCTGCAGAAGCGCAGATGACAGACTCTAGCACTATAGCTTGTTGTTGTTTGCATCTCCTCGCTTGCATCTGTGTTTATTTACAAAGCCATGGAAAGACCAATAAGTTGTCAACAAACATGATGTAATGATATGGGTACACACAGGACGTAATGATATGGGTACACCCGTTCTCAAATTCCGCATTCGCAACTACAGAAATGTAGAAAAAGCTTTGCAGTTGGACAGAGCATTGTACAGACTTGGAGAGCTGGCGCGCTCTACCGGTAATATCGAAAGGGTTTGAATTTTGTGCAACTGCACGAAGTGATTGCAAACCAGCGAAAAAGCATATCTGAATTTCCTTACCTTATGCAAATTATCTTAAATCTCCAGGGTACGAAGTGACTAATTTATTTTGAAAGTGCTACAGTTTGCGAGGTTTCCTCATTCAAACCCTTTGAAGGCATATACCACATGTGTTTCATATTTATGTAGTATATAGTCTGATAGAGTTTTTGTGACATAGTGCAATTGCACAGTCATCCGCAAGTGCGCGGAGAATTGTCCACGGGTACTGGGAGTCTTGTCTACAGTTTGTTAATAGAAACTGCTTGCTTGAGCAGAAGGATTGATAGTACGCAAATGAGTTCCTATTCGTCTATGATACATGAAGCTGTGAGCTCTTTGACGTTTTCTACGCCCATATGATATTCGCAGTGCTAATACACTAATCACTGCCAAAAATCTACTGGACTATACACTGTAGTTTACAACCTACCGAGAGAATTTGTTAAGAGATTGTCTCGTTCTTATCAGCTCTCAGTTAGACACTAAATCAGAACAACAATCACGAACTAGTACAGCTGACAATGCCTGCAAAAAGCGTGTAGAGCAAAAAAAGTGGGCGGGGCGCGCTATTTACAACTGAGAATTCGGCGCCACCCGCCCGCATTGTCCACTCCGTTGTTGTCGTTTGCCGTGCACTGACTGCGCCATGCTTCAGCTGCAGTATTTCCGTGATAAATACGACAGCGATAAGAAGTAAGTTTTGATAATTTGCTCATTTTTTACATTTGTACAGCATTTGGTATGATATATGAGAATTTTCCTTTTTTAAAAATCTTTTTCTGGGCAACCTGGGTCTATTCTATGTCTTCATTTATTGTTACTGATACAACTGTTACTCAGGATGGTATCTGCTGGTTGCTCTGATTTTAGTCTCTAGATATTGCTAACATAAAAGCCTTGACATTTGGTGGTTCACAAAAGCGTAAAGTGTTCGTTTGTAAAAAAAAATAATCAACCTTGGTTTTGTGGTACTGTTCCTTGGCTCCTCTTATAACGATTTTCCAAAAAACTTGCTTGGATCACATTCTATGAGAGACAGAATAGCGGCGTGTAGATCATTTTTTCAGAATGCGGCGTGTAGATCATTTCAGAATTTCTCTCATTTCTACTCTCTGAAATTCTTTTTGCACCTGAACATGTTTTGGGACCGTGCTTTGAACCATTTTCTCATTTGCGGTCTCAATTTCCCAGCACAAGAACTCAAACTCTGTTTTATTCTTGGTCGTCGATTAACATTGTGCTATCATCATCCACAATAGTCGATTATCAGTTCTCGTCTAGCATAATACTGAGTTTTCTAATCATGGTCATGACCTAGCAATCTTTTCTTCTTTCAGCATGCGACAATCTATCGTTTTGAAAGCTCGTGTCTATGACATGGAGCAAGCAGAAAATGCGATCTTCGATCTTACGGAATCGCTTGGCACGTTTTTCGTGCAAGAAGATGTCTACTTCAACGTGCCCAAAGGAAACCTGAAACTTCGAATAATGCATCCAAATGTAAGTTGATTTTTTTTCAAGTGTGTATTTATTTCATTAGTTCAAATCTTGCTCAGCGCTTTATGTTAAATGATTATGAATGTTCAATATTTTGGCACTGCTTTCTCTCAGTCCCCTGATGTGTCTGGATTCACTGCACGAATCATTCCCTAAGAGAGCGATAGTAGCAATGTACAGTTTTTTCCTCGCTTCCACTATTTTCATATCATTGGTCAGCCTATTTCGAAAACCAGCGCAGGTGTTGTACGCTTCCAACTTTCTTATCTTTTGTTTGTCATTCCAATGTCGTTTGGCGGGAGCCCTTTTGTCCACAGTGCTGGTCTTATCTCTGTAGAAAAAAAAATATATGCTCTTTGTTCTTTTCCTGCACAAAAGTATTTCTCGGGTCAACGATCGTGGGGCTTTCTCGACCTTACTCTATCACGTGAATAAGTTGCTTACATGCGAGTACACTGTATATTTTCTCAATCGGATCTGTTGGCATATCAAAATGCTTCCTCAGTCACAATATTGCTCTCAATAAATAAGTAAATCCTGATTTTTAGAGATGCGGTCAATTGATCTACAACTCGCTATCCAAGAAGTCTGGCCACAAATTGAGTGAATCTCAAGTTACAGAAGTGGAGGATGTTTACTCCATCCGAGTAAGTTTCGTTCTCCTTCATTTCATACTATTTTTCTTATCTTAATCTTTGGCTTTTTTCAAGTTGCATACAAATATTTTACTCTTAGAATTTTTTTTTGCAAAAAAGGGAAGTTTGACAGCTTTCACGACTAACACAGAGCAAGTACATACCCTGTATCTTTCGGCTATCTTACTAGATACGAAGCGGGTACCTGCTACTATCCTTTCAGTGGTGTACTTTTTGATAATTGTCATGAACGCGATGCTATCTCTGTAATTGGTGCGAATCTAGATGAACGATAATGCGCAGTATAGAGTTAGGACACAATTTTCCGCTTCAGTGTAATTGTCAGCAGTAATGCTGGCAGCTGAGATTTGTGTTGCCAGCTGCAGGAGCTTGCGTGCAGCCGTAGATGAAAACCTGGAAAACCAAATTCTGCCGAAACACTGCCTTTAAGTTTCCCTTTCACAAGCTAAATGATGAATGAGCTCATTGACTTCACACATGCCATTTTTGCATCATAGAAAGTGAACGGCATAAAGTTCTATGAGATCAGTTTCATTCTGAAACACAAAGCACAGCTGCGCCAGTCTTTTTTTACCTCTGCAGTGGGATACTCATGAGATTGTTTCATAGAGGCATTAGTTTGTGAAAGAGGAACTTAAAGGCAGGGTCTCGGCAGAATTTGGTTTTCCAGATTTTCATCTATAGCCTTCTCGCCATGAGGGACCCATATCTGGGCTTTTCACCGCATGAAAATGGCGAAAATGAGCTTTTTGCGAGGCTTTCCAGGTCCCCATTCAGTGAGAAGTACGTGAGTGGGCGGGATCCGGAATGCTACTCGGAAAGTGTCCGAAAAAGCTGATTTTCGCCATTTTCACCTTATTCATGGCGAGAAAGCTCCGAAAGTTTGAAAAACTGAAAACGAAATTTTGCCGAGACACTTTAGGATTTCTTTTCAAGTTACATTTTTTTGCTTGTGCTGTGTGGTTTTCATATGGCCCTCCGCAGGAATGAGGGACGAGACGTGCTTTTACTGTAGAGAAGGTAGGGGCGAAACCTTTATAATCTGCGTTGTAAAGTTGCGCGCTGCTGGTTATCACTGAAAACTTGGGCTAGCTCTTATTGGTTTTCATGTGTCATGGCTTGTGATGAGCATTATATTCGTTTGGAGTCACCATATGGAGAAATCATTTGTTGATTCTTGCAAACTATACAGTTGCAGACGTCGCAGAATAACCTGTTCTATTGGTCACAGCGGTGTCAGCAAGAATCTTTTATGCGACTCGAACCAGTCTGTAACAAAGCAGTTGCAGTCTTAATAGCTGTTGCTTCAGAATTCTTTGAGAGGATGGCTTACCAACACAGAATCAGGGAATGTTCATTGCTATCTGGATATAGTTTAATCATGATAATTTCCGTTGAAGATTTTCTTTCAGTGTTGTTGCAATTTTTGTTCTCACATGACTATGGCGAAGCTAATCTTAATGACAAATCTGTGCAAAATTTGAGTAATTCCAATCGAATAAAAACCTAATGGGGCTCTTCACTGAGACGGGAGTGGTCTGATAATGAGTTAGTCTACCTTAAATGGAGACCGAAGTGGGATGAGGAAGGGGGGAGGGTGAGATGAACGAAGCAAAACGGGCAAAACAAGGCTCAATAATCTCCTTGATAGATTTTTCTAGTAAATTTCAAAAAGTAATTTATATAAAAGGTAAATCGGTTGTTCTAATTTCGGCCCTTTGGGTCTGATTACTAACGATCAGGGAAATACCTGCTAAATATCAGCTGTATACCGGAAATCAGAATGTTAATCATATAATCGTTGCTGGTTGTTATCGCGAATGTGAACTGTTTTTCTAAAAGTCAAGGTTGCTCAAGTCTTTGGTTGCGATCTCGTCTTTTACACAAAGAGATAAGATTGATATTTGGTCGCAGAAAATTACTAAAAAAAATTACAGATTGAACACGTTAACATTCGAAGAAGTTACTAAATTCTACTAAAGCCTCCATAGGTCTCGAATTTTCTACCTAAAAATCTATTTGGAATTACTGCATTTGTGCTGTCACCTATATAGGGCTTAGATATAGGTTTACATTCAAATGGCGCCGGTCAATTTATTTACCAAGAAATTCCTAAAAGTGCCTTTCATTCAAATTTGAAATTTTCTTCTAATGAATATCTCTTTATAGGCCACCCTGAATGCTGCACTTGGCGAGCGAGGTACAATCACAAAGAAACGCCGCGTGTTTACTATGGATGATGTTAGAATCTATCTAGATGATGTGGATCAAATCGGACACTTCATAGACATTGCTGTAAGTCTTTATTATTTTTGAAGTGTCTTGTCTTTATTTTGTTATCTACTTTCTTCTACAATCCAGCTGACTTCCTTGTCGTGGTCAGCTGATAGGATGCCATAGGGTTGTCGCTTATTATTGATAATTACTAGACGATAAGCATGGCTGTCATGAGCATTAGAGTTCATGTCACTGGCATAGCTCAATTTCTGACGCAATACACTGAATTTTGTTTTGTTATTCGCAGTAGGGGACATGGCAATATAATATCGAAAGTTCTGTCGCATCGTGTTAGAAAAATCATAACTTTTTGCTCTTTCAACGAATTTGCGCAAAAATAACTTTGCTAGATAGACTACACTATTTTCTAACGTCTTTGCTATTTTCTAGGTGGCTTTTGAGATGGAAGCAGGAGAATAAAGTTACTTTAATCTTGTCATCTTGAGTTAGGCTCCTAAAAATTTGAAACTCGCGATAAAATTCCCAGCGAGCGGTCAAGTAAGTCTTTTTATCCACACTTTCCAAAGTTTGTGTCCACTGAGCTTTCTGTGAAGAGTTATGATTTTTGAAAAAAAATCAAAAAATCAAATTTGATGTTTTGTAATGCCTGTCCAATATCATAAGTCATCACAGAGATGCTCTTTTGACACAGACTCCGCACAGATTGAAAGGGTGGACTAAAAAACTTAGTATACTGCTTGCTGGAACTTTAACGTAAGTTTCAGATATCTAGCAGCCTAACAAAATGACTGAAGTTCAAGTAATTTTTATTTCCTGGTTCCATCTCAAAAGCCACTCGTACTAGTGAGCAGCAAAGGTACTATCACAAAGGAAAGGGTTTCCTCTATTTAGCAAAATTTTGTGCACATCCTGAAAGAGCAAGAAGTTCTGATTTCTCAAGCATGATGCGATAGAACTTTTGCATCAACTCAATAATTTCAATCATATCCAGGTGCCGTTATCGTCGTCCCAACCGGATGAATGCTATGCGCGAGCCAAAGAAATTCGTGAACGCCTAAAAATTCAAGAAGATGCGCTTGTTCCTGCTGCATACCTCGACATGATGATGAATAATCTTTCATTTGATGACGACGTTCCGTCTCGGAAGTCGACGAAAAGCGGTTCTGAAACTGAAAGTGATGCTTCGTTTTAGCTCAGTGTTGCTCGATAATTCAATAATTCTGATCTCGATGAGGATCGATTGTCTGTATGAGTGTCCTTATTGTTTTAAAATAGAAATATGAGATTTTTCATATAAATATTGATGTCTAACTCTATATTCGAACAGTTTTAGTACAAATCTTACACTTTCCTTATATTTCACTTTCTATTAACAGTGTAATCTGATGTTGTGGAGACCTCTGATAGAATTTCGCATCTTTCCTCTCAAATGATTTATCTATGTAAGGAAATGTTTCTTGAACGTTGCTGCACATCGTTCGGGTTGTTTTTAACGTGTACACATTTTATATTAAGAATTTTAATAAAATCTCGAAAAAAGTTGTTCAAATGGCAATTCAAATGTACTTTCAAGTTAAAATTTAACTTGCAAGTTACTCAAATTGTCAGCGTGAATTTTTCTATGTATGTGATGTGCCTATAGTTGCAAACAGTGCCGGACAGCGAGGGTTCAAAAAATTATTTTGAAGGGGGGGGGAGTGCAACATTTTTACGAGTGGAGGGGTTTTCGGGATGAAGAAAACGGGGCACGATGGCAGCCATGTCCTCTCAAGAATCATAATACGACAGAATTTTCATGAAATTCAATTCATTCCGCGTATTCGCCTTTTCAAGTTTACGGCTATAAATTAGTATAATCAATTATGGAAGTACGTCGACTTTTGATATCGGTCACCGATTATTATGTTCTGCAAGTAGATGACACAAACAAAGCGAATAGAAACGGGGCTACTCTATTTGAGGAGTCCAAAAAATGTCCTCATTGTTTTAGGCACTACTGGCCGGCATCGCCATGTCCCTATGTATTCGTAGTCAGCATTCTCACTTGTCCTCCAGTAGTCTCAGCTTCCCAGTTCAAAGTTTCGAAAAATCGATAAAATCGATGAGTGCATCTCTAATTGAGAAATAGATATTGAATTGTGATTAGCGCACTCATTTACCGCCTCTTCTAACTTCCAACTCTCCAGACACCGCCCCTAACCGAATTGTATCCAATTTTTGGATTGGATCGGTTCAGAATTGGAATTTCCTGTTCGGAACATACGGTACAACGTAGCGGCAGTCCCAGGATTCTGCTGGGAGGGGAGGGTAAGATCCGTTAAGCCTCGCACTGCAAAAAATTTCGCGGGCCCATAACCCCGAAATTCCAAAAGAAGGGGCAGCCGCAAATTGCAATGCTTTAGCGTGGAAGTACCCTTTGGTTCAACTGGCTTGGCGGCTGAAAGGCGGGGCTTCGTGACCTAATTGAGGAGTAATGATGACCACAGAGCACGCGCACGGGGTAGCGGGCGCGTTGAAGCAAAGGTTACATCAAGTTCAATGTTGTCAAATGTCTGCAATGGTCCGCCTCCATACAGGTCTGGGAGTCTTAAAAAAGTCATCGTAACTCACTATAAAGCGCTTCGTATGAAATAAGCATGAAATTTTTGAACATGTCAAATGACTAATCTAGGCAAAGTTGCACTTCATTTGAAAATTTTGTCCTTTGACAGTATATACGACGTCTCATAAGATAGGCCCTTCACGCGTAGTACCCATCCATGATTGCTACGTCCGCAAACCCACTATGGTCTTCTGCCACAAGGAAGCTGGGGAGTGCGCTGACAATAAGTGTCGAACTCCGATGTACAGGCTGTGAAGTACTTGATGTTTCGGCCTTCAACTTTGCCGGATGCTTAGCCAAAAGTAATCTTGGCCATACTCACCATCTGACTGTAAAGAGAATCGCTGACGGCACCCCATTTGGCTCCACGTCAGGAGTCACGTCGCGCGCCGCGGAAGCTTTGCCGCGCATGTCGCGCCTAGATTTTGTACCCCAAAAAACTGTCCGGTACTATAGTGGCACGGCCAGTCTAGGCGGGTGGGGGTGGAGGCAGATACATGGCTTGTGCCACAAGTAAGATGCGCCAGGAGTGCTGGTTCTTGTATGGCTGACATCGCTTGCGGCATCGGTTCGTAAGAAATTCGCGCCGACCGTGACTCCTGACCGTCCCCTCCACGAGGGTCGGCGACTGTCCTGTGGAGAAGAAGAGCGGGACAGGGTAAGCCTGCTCCAAAAAATCTGTTTGCTTGTCCAGCAATTATAGAAGAAAATTTTGCACATTGGATTCCACTCAAGGCATTGGTGGTAACGAAATCGACGAATGCTGTCCAGTGTGCCTTTTGGATGGGACAAAACGAAAGGAACGGACAGATCCTTACCAGCACCTTATGTATTGAACCTATGGCGCCGGACAGTCTCCGCGGTCGATTTACAAGCGTTTATTGACTTTGCAAAGCACGTCACTACATGATCTCACTGCAGTTATAAAGAACTAGAAAAAGGACGCGCGACTTATGTAAAGGATCCCTCTTACCCGTGATAAGAAAGTTCTCATTGTATGTGGAAGCGTTGGCTATGTCGTCCACTCTACAGTCCAAGCATCGATTCTCATAAGGGCTATCCTGCCTTTGAACCCTTCATGCCAGACTTCAGCATTATGCTGCTATCTCCTATCACGATCAGAGGATCAGAACTTGTTGCCTTTTAAGAAGACAAGACTAGAGTGTTCGCAACAAAAAGGCCTTTAAGAAAGTTCTCTGTGACCTTCACCATGAAAATCAGAGAAGAGATGCATACTGTTGAGAAGTTTTATACGGGCTCCCGTTAGCGAAAAAGTCAGCCGTTCTTGTTGGGGTTTTCTCCGGATCCAGATAAGACTACTACCGGAGTGGAAAGGATTGCGCGCCTGCTATAAATGTGCTTCAAAGACCGGAGAAAAGAATTTGCAGCGCGTCCTAAAGGCCACCAAAGGATGCTCAGAACCAAAAGAACCCTGAGAAGATTGAATGCAACTAAGAACCCTGAGAAGATTGAATGCAACTATCTCGAGCGAGGCAGCGAACACCAGCTGCGGGGCACTTGCAACGGAATTTCGAAAGTCTTGATAAGTAAAAGTGGTGGAAGCGGGCGAAGGAAGACGAATTTCAAGAAAGAAGCAATGGGACCCTGCAAATATCACCGCCATGGTTAAGCAAGAGGTGAGGCACACAAGCGCCGGACATGACCCCTCCCCCCCCCCTAGCTTCTCTCTAACCCCCTCTTACCCCCCCCCCTCCCCAGAGCATTATTGTTTGCCTTTCGTAAGCATGGCATAAAGCCTCTACCACGCATAATTAGGCACATATTCGTAATTCATGTCAAACAAACACCATGGGCCAAGTTTCAGCAAATTTAAGGGTTCTCAATATTGGACCATCTAAGTAAAGTGATTATTTCCAGACTGATTAAGTATATTTCAAAAGTGAAATAGCTAACTCTTTCTGTAATCCATATAAAGCACCACTTCCTATTTACCCATGCCATGAATCCTGCTTCAAATAACCATTAGACTATGGCATTAGAAGCAGGCCAAAATTTCGTCTTTCTCATTTTTCGCTTCCAGTGGCTGCGCTTTCACCAGCTTTTACTGAGAGCAAAGAAGATCTCAGACAGCGGATCGGACCCCTCCGCCGGAGAAGTGGCAGGGTCGCGGCGTATCCCCAGCGGTGGGTCTCCCATTTGTCCGGCGGAGCCCTCCCATTTTCTGCTCCGGATACCTCCCATTTCTGCTCCGGATACCCCCCATTTTCTGCTCCGGATACCCCCCATTTTCTGCTCCGGAGCCCCCCGATTTTGTGCGCCGGAGCCCCCCGATCGCGGCATACTGTAATTAGCCCTAATTAAAGGCAGCTTCCAGGCAGATCTGGACCTATGGGGCTTTTACATGGAAAGTACTTTTGGGGCCCTAACTAAGGCACTGCCGAAGCAGCAGCTCAGGTAGTGCTCCAATGGCTGAGATATTCCCCTCGAAACAGACCCCCGCGAACGTACTCGCATGGATTCATGGCAGTTTCGCGCCAGGATCCACTCTTTGCGCCATGAATCCATGCGAAACACGGTCGCGGGGTCCGGTTTCGAGCAGAATATCTCAGGCGTTAGAGCACTACTTGAGCTGCCGGTTGGGTAGTGGCTTAGTTAGGGCCCCAAAATACTTTCCATGTAAAATCCCCATAGGTCCAGACTTGCCTGGACGCTGCCTTTAAGCTCCAAACCCCAATTTTGTCTCTAAACCCCACCCAAATAAGCCGAATAGGACCCCCCCCCCCCCCCGGGTAGGAGTTTAGCGCGACCCTCACCCCGTACTCTACCCCCTCCCTCTCACCCCTAGCGTTTGTGGATAGAAGATAGAAGAAAGAACGAAGAGATAAGACATTTATTTCAAATTCATCAAACTTTCGAAAAATCTATCTATCTATCTCCAGCATACGTAACAGTTAATTCATATTACAAAAACCATACTAGGAGTGATAAGAATATTCAAAGAAAAACTAATTTCCTAGTTGCAAAAAGAACCTTGTAACACCACAGTATAAGCATATGGTTTTAACATGGTAAGAAAATGACAAAAAGATCAAAAAAGCATTCTGTGCAACATGAAACAAAACAGCGAGGAACGCCATAAACTCACATTTGCAAAGCAGGGACATATTGTCCAAGTGCGATATATACATGAGCTATATTCATCCAAACATCTTCGAATTCCGAGGTCCAAGGCCATACTGGGGCAAAACGAAAGTAGGATGATTCAACGTAGTTGCTTGATAATAGTACTAGGACACGATGATGACATGGATTGAAATTCTTGCATATGCAACTTACCTTGAACGCCTTTTCATAGTCTCTGTTGAAATGGAAAAACCGCGCAAGAATGTAACAAGCTTCGGCCTTGATTTCGTCACTTTCCGTCATACTCATTGCATGCCACGCAAACCGTTCAACCTTGTTCATTTCCTGAAAAAGTGATGCCTTCAGATAAAGCGATAAACACCTCGATGTAACAGCTTGGACAAATTTAAAAGGTCCCTTTTATAGATAATTCGTAATTAATTCAAAGAATTTCTGCACTGACTCCTTTGAAGAAGAAGTGGTTGGCAAGATGGACCAAGACAACCGGATTCTCCGGCTCCAGACTATACGCTTGGCCTAGACAAGCCACTGCACTTTGGGCTCCCTCGACAGTATGCGTATTGTAATCCAAAATGGCAAGTGCTGAGAGAGCACAAACATTGTCATTTTGCAATTCCAACGCTCGTTCAAAAGCGATTCTGCAAATTGTAATTGAAAGTCACATAAACAGTAAAGAAGAAGCTATGTGACTCAAACATTTCACATTTACATGCTTACCTAGCCTTATCAGTCCCTAATCTCGCTAAGCAATACTGGAAGCAATGTGATGTGACTAAGCAACAGTAACAGTCACAATGCTTCAGTAACAGTCACAAAACTTCAACATCGT